TAGATTTTCGCGGGCTTGGGATGAGAAGGACGGACTCTGTTCTGCACTATCGTCCAAGAAGAACAGTAGCTAGGAAGAAGCGTGTTAGAGGTTGATACACCCCCACAAGGTGGTCACAAATATGACAGAGAGTTTGGTGTGGGCATGTACAGGGGGGCATCGTGGGGCAAGAGCGTGTAGAAATGCAGGAGGTACGGATCATCGGCGAAAGTTTTGTTTCTCATTCACCGCTCTCGACCTATTCATGCCGGTCAGGTCGTCGACTAGAGCCGCCCGCAGGGCTATCTCGCAGTTGGGTTGTATGTCGTGCTCGGGTTTCATGTCTGAAGTGAAGGAAAGGGGTATGTACCAATAGTGGAGTTGGATTTCCGCAGGTCCCAGTCGTCTGAAAGGTTGTAGGATAAAACTGGAGTTGTGGTAGTGTCACGTAGATGGGCGGGTGGAAACTGGCAGCAGAAACTACCCCAACGCTTTCCGACCTGCTGATGCAATTCGTACTCCCGCTGGAGGCCCATGAGGCTTTCCACTGTGTTGAGAGCGGCAATGTTGCGTGGTTTGAAGTTTGAAGCTGCCGATAAGACATGGCTTATGCAGCCGGAATACATACAATAAAATGAATCAATCAAAGCGTGCATATTCTACTGAAATAATTCCCTGCGAGTTTTCAACCCTGGAGTGCGTTCGGGTCGGGCGTACATACGAACTTAACCAGCTCCCCGCTGGTGTGAGGCGAATCAAGCACTGCGAAAGAACGAGTAATTGTCTCAGATGTCAACAAGGGCGCAAAGACCGTGATACGTACATAGACTTCACCTGTTATTGTTTTCTAAGGTCCCGGTCCCGATGATAAGCCCCTCGCTTCATTTTGTCAGCCCTTGCATAGCGCACATGCAGTACTGTTCGGTGTTTCGTCTGGCGCCGTAGGAGGTGTCCCAGTCGCACGTACGTTTGTCTGCATCCGAGCGGAACCATGCGAATCTAATCACCCGTGCTCTCAGTGTTGGTGCTCAGCGGGTGAAAAGTCGTTGACGCCACGTAGGTGGCTTACATAGACCCCCATGCCTTTTTACATAAGTAAGGCATTTCTAGGCCATGGAGGTTCACGTATACCACGTACCGACGGATAGCTGATCCGGGCCCACACTACAGTTCGATATTCAATTTCTGATCGATCGACGCGCACCATGCGCTGGGGGGAAGGAGAACACCTGCGGCGTTCGCTTGTTGGCTCCTTGGAATCGCTGGGTCAATTATCCCCCGGACCAAAACCATGTTTCTGCGCAAGAACAACCTGCGTAGGAAAATCTCTGGAATCAATCGTACCCGCGAAGTCATGTGGTATGTATAAGTGTGACCGCGTATGAGGCATCGGTTTTCAAGTGCTTGGTTGTCGTCGCTTTTGAATATCCCTTTCCCTGTTCGGAGCCTTGTATCAGGACTGACCACCGATACGGGATGGGAGCGTGGTTCAGGACCACGTTCACTCCAGGATCGCAGCTCCCTGGATCCCAGTGCGCCACGGGATGGATGACATAAAAGAAATTCACCATGACGCAGTAGGTCGAACCAGGGTATATGGTTCCCGAGAGCCAGAAAGCCAAAGCCGAATAGCGGTCGGACAGCTCGGTTCGTGCATCGTGGGTGCTGTCTGAAGCTATGTAGGTGTGCGTTGGCTACCTCAGCACCCCGAGGTTACCTAACCCCAGAATTTCAGGGACATAGTTTAGGCACTCTCAGATACGAGAGGGGCGAGGCATCGCTAATACCCCAACCAAGATGGCATTCTTGAGCGCGCACAAGGCGGTTTCAGAGTTCTCAGGGTGTGTGTGACACCTCCGGACTCTAAAAGCACGCCATGTTGCTCAAAATGATAGGAGAGTAGTAACGCAGCACCAGAAGCTGGGTTCTGGCCGCTCGCAGGAGCGGCTTGATCCCCTCCAGGGAGCTGGATCGTGGTCTATTTGCAGCTAAGAATCCGTCCGGAAAAATGAGCCTAACCTCGGAGAAATGATCGTTGTGGTCCCTCAACCACCTTACACTGAAACAAACCAAGGGAAGAATAACCCGTGTACCGGGGCGCACTCTCGGAACACGACCAGTTCGTGATGTCTTTTATCATCACAGGGGAATGACGTCCCCTGCAGACAAACGTTGCTTACCGCCGTTGTTTTGTACCACGTATATGGCCGTACAGCACCCAGCAGTGAACACTCTTCGTGCCTCCTGTTCCGTGGTACATTAAACAATGCCAGACCAGGTTTCTTCTGAGTTCATGAGATCCCCGTCGTGTGACTTTTGACGGAAGAGGTCAGTCCGATGATCCGTCTTACCTCGAGTGCTTCTCAGACCCTGCCGAAAACCGCGTCTTCGAGTGGAAGAATTCAACCACCGCAATGAACGCAGAAGTGAGTGACCAATCGATGGCCGGAAGCGCATGCGGTTGTCGATGTGTGTGTGTAGTTGCTTGTACTCCTTTTTCAAGTCGTGTATTTCTCTTTGAGATTAGAATGTACTCCTTGTGATATGCTCGTGGCAGTTCTTCTTGGTGGCGTCGTGCGGTAATTACACGCTTGTTGAACGCGGTTTGAAAATCGGGCTGTGACCGCCACATCCAGCGTTTCCATTTGTGCTGTCTTCGGGCGTGCCCATCGATACATCTTTCGCCTCCCAATGCGGATTGTTGACCGCTTTTTTTGCATGCACATGACCCGTGGACCGCAGGCCTGTTCCGTGCTCTGCTTCGGTTCGGACTTCTATGGGACCCAGTATTCGGCAGAGGTAAGATGGCCTAGAAACGAAAGCAACGGGGTCATTCACCGATCAGCAGCAGTGAAGATGACGAATAAGATGTCGATTGCACACATGAAGGGAGGTGCTGATATTTTTTGTGGGCTCTCCGTGGTTACGTGAATCGTAATTCCTTGGTGGTCGTGCCTTTTCTGTACCTTCGGATGATGACAACGCGCTCTCAACGTTTCAACCGTTCTTCTTGGGCTGCCTTAAGCCACCGAGTTTGGTAGGTCCCCGCAGTACGATGTTCTTGGACTGGTCGTTCGCTCCTTGCCCCACTAGCCTACCGTTTGAGCTATATAAGTGAGAGGAGTGTTTCTATCTTCAGGCTATTGATGAGGGAAGAAATTCGTCACTTTGGAACGGTCGCCTCGCGATCGGATAGAGGAGATAAGAGCGTCTTTCATGAAATTTTGGAAAGGTAGTTTCATGTTTTCCCCTTTTTTTACGGTTGTTTGGCGCCGCCACCACCACCATGCCTTCCTTTCTCGCCCAATTCCGCTTAGTGCACAACGCTGCACGCGACTCTCGCAACCACGACACCCTTGCACTCCTCCGACGCCACATCTTTGATAATCCCAATCGCGTGCCATTCGTTTCAAAACAGTGTTGGTGCGGTGACAACGTCGGATACGCCGCTAACGGCCCCGGAGACTGCGACACGCCCTGCTCCGGCAACTCTGACGAGATCTGTGGCGGGTCGTACACCCTCTCAGTTTACTCGAACGACCCCGATTACCTTGGGTGCTGCGACCCCCACACGGCGGAAACGCGGCTGTTTTCCATCCTAATCGCCACATCCAACGACATGACTACAGAGGTGACGATGTAGCGCAGCACAACAGCGCACTGACTGTTCTCATGCAAACACGCCCTGCACCTGGGTTAAGGAGTTGTCTTTTCACATCTCCGCTGCGGTAGTGCTACTGCGTATGTCGGATCCAGCCGTACTTGGGGGCGTGAAGAGCAACAGGGGGCTTCATAGGTTATGCGATCCTCGACCTCGCCAGCCCATGCCCGACGGTGTCCCCGGTGATGAGACCAGCAGGTCCCACACCCTTTGGAGGCTACGCTCGGGGACGGAGATGGGAGACACGTTCTCGAGGTCTTCCGGTCCCAGCACATGCATCGCTCTCTCTCTCTAAAACCGCTGCATCATTCAACAAGAGTCGTGTGTGGCTTATCCAACAAACGGTCCTCGTCTATTGGAATCTCGCTTGCTACCAGATGCAGCGCCTTGTCCGCCACGTCGCCGTTGCACACAGAATGAATTGCATCCAAACGTCGACGAAGCGAACCAAACTTTGGTGCCGTAGCCTGGACAATCTAAAGTGTATTCAGTCATTTGTAGCTGCATTGTTCCGTGACGAAGAATAGACCTCGCGTACCACGCAGGACAATTTTTGAGAAATTACATATAGATGCCATACAGCGGCGCGCTTGAGGGCGCAAGAGGGGACTACGGAACACGTGGCGTTGATTGATACAGGCGCTGACCGGCATAGGTGGCCGGAAAGTTTTGTATGCTGTCAATACGTCTATCTTGGACGCTAATAGCCAAGGTGTTTTATCCGCCACGTCAACTTCACAACACAACACCAGTTGCATACGGCGACAATCTCAAACTCGAAGACTTGGCATGTGCGCCACGACTGCTAAAACAACGTTCACCCAACTCGGAAACGATGCGCCATATCACGTCCTGCTCAATGTCACGCTGCAGATCTGCGAAGGTCTTTGGGTCGATTATCAGTGGTACGGGACGCAGTATGGAACTGAGGTGAGATTGAGCTACACCGGTATGCATAGCCGACGTTTGCAGCGAAAACAAATTCAGTGCCCCCTCTCGGCTTGTAGAATCCCTTCGTGCGTTGAAAAGGGCATTTTTAGAGCGCCCGTTTCAAGGCTGACTACAACCGTGCCAATCGCTTGCACTACCACATGTTTTTTGCTCTCTTCCGGCCGAAAATGACCGTATGCGTACACTCGGTCGTGCGATCGAAACAGTGCTGGTGTGATGACAGTACGGCCGACTATGAGCAAAATGATCCGGGCGTCTGCGACTACGCGTGCGGTGAATCATCCGACGGCGAGGTCTGCGGCGGGTTTGACGCTACGTCCATACGCCAACGCGAAGTCGAGAATCCCTTCCCATACGTTGGGTGCTTCTACGACGAGTTTATATCCCACATGTGTTTCCCATTGATGGCATGACCCTTCAGGTGAGCCAGCAAGCAACACCGGTTGGGAATCTTAGGTTGCTTTCGCTCCTACGCTCGTTTGTCAATGACGAACGCCCTGTACTTTGCTTGGTACTCTTGGAAATGTCTGGTTTGCTGAACCTTCAAACGAACCGCCGCCCCACATCACAACCTCTCACGGTTAATCTCTTACTGCCTCTTCTCTCTGCCCGTCTGATCCACCTTTGTTTCCCACGAATAATTCCACGGATAAACCACAGCCTTGCTTAGAGGTGGCCTGCAATGACACCCGATACTTCGGATTGAAGTATGCAGGATTAGAGGTAAGATTTCCAGTGGTCGTATGTGAGGTAGATTTAGTACGAACATGGATACTACCTCAACAATGCTGCTTACCTTGGTGTTGACATCTCATCGTGTACTCTTTGCAGTGGATGACATCTATCGTACCTAGGGTATTGCTTCGATTCGTATGACCTCGCTAGGGTTTTCGAAATTGGGCGTTGCCGATACCTGTGAGTGGCGAGGCTTTATGTGTCGTGCTTTGGCTTTTGCCAACCCCCCGAGGTGCCGTGGACCATTTCTGTCTCGTTCACGCTGTCCTTCGCTGCTCTAGGCGCCGACGAGAAATCAATGCACCATACAACACATGGAAAGTGCATCATACGACCACCCGTCAGTGATGTTCTCTATTGCACCAATGTTCAACATGACTAGGTCGTCGCACAAACCGGAGCAATTCAATAGATGTGATGAGAGCTTCCCTCGTGCCTGTCAGATATTCACTACGCCGATCTCTCTTGCTTCTCGTTCTACTCCCTTTGGAAGGCCATCACCTGACGCCACATCACCTCGACTTCAACTATCACCTGTATCATGGTGCTGAGGACTGCATGACCTCGATGCGACCACGTTACGACGAAACTCCTTGCCCCGTCTAAGTCACTACACCCTGTTTGGCCATGATGTTGCTATCGCATGCAACAGTGCTCGTGCCTCGATGACATCGAAGGCCTCATCGGCGGCGGTGTTTGTGACTATCCCTGCACAGACTACCCTTCTCTGCTCTGTGGAGGCTACGGCACCATAAGTATGTACGAGCACGACGTGGACACGGACCCCGAAGACGTGGACACGGAACCCGAGGATCCCTCCTGCCGAGGGTGCTACTCTGACTCAGCCGAAAACCGTATTTTCGTGCCGGTGGGTTCCTCTGACGACATGGCGGCAGAGGTGAGCGAAAGAGCGACGGAGCGTTTCACTACAGTAGGTCGACTGGTTTGTGTTCATTAACGCCAGGCAAATGGGGGTGTTGCCTGCTTTGATCGATGCTGACATCGGTATCATGCTCGTTGCATTTCCCCATGAATTGGCAGAGGTGTGTCAAAACGCAGGCTAAACGAACGTTGAAACAACCTCACCCAGAGATGACACATTACTCAATGTCGACGTAGGCTTCACTACCATGCTCCATATGCCCGGATGACCGACCAACCGTGCATATGTCCATATACGAAACTACACCAGGCATGTGCATCGCTCTGCTCCGATTGGGCCGGAACGCAGTACTCGACCGAGGTGAGATTATTGTACCACATCAACTAGTAGGGGGACAAGGTGGCCAGTACGTCATGGCCGTGGTCTGGTTTTGGATCGAAGTATCTCGTGACGATTGTTTGACGTGGTGACGATAGGTTGCCGCCCGCTGCTGAGATCCTACGAGGTGGTTGCTACACCAGGAGACCTGTTTGTCTCCCATCGTATTTGGCGCGGCGGTCGCCGACAGCGTGCGAACATCTTTCTCGTGCGGATGTGGCATTCGAGGCCTCCTCGACCCTCCCGCCGATGAAGGTGCGAGCGCTGCGCCGTCACAAATATGTCGGTTCGCAGTGTCGCAATATTCCCCCCAAGTACTCTAATTGTTGGCCGTTGGATGTCCATGTTCGTATACACCCTTGTGTATTGCAGATATGTATCACTTGTGTCATGGACAACAGAGAAGACCAAGACTCTAAGACAAAGGCTGTGGGAGAGAGAGTGAGCACGCTGCGTGCACTCCTAGAGAGCCGAGCCCCATGGATCAACCATAGTACTGTCACTTCCTATTACCCCCAACGTAGGGTACTGTCACTTTCTATCTGCAACACCCAACGTAGGCTACTGTCACTTCCTATCTGCGACACCGCATAATAGAGTCGCGTTGGGGTATCCGAATCCGCCCATTCTGATTCCAAAACTTGGTGGTTGTAACAAAAGGTGGAGGGGGGCCGTACTGGTAGTTCGAAAGAACGCATGGCCAGGCAAAGAGAGTCGACGCCCGCAAACACAGCATCAACAGACTCGAGAATAGCTCACCCGTCCCCAGTAATAGCACTTCCTCGGGAACTCGATGATGGGGAAGGTTGGATCCACCCGACATTGTAGGTTTCCGAGCAAGAGGCCTACGGCGGAGGGTGTGTGGGTATACAGGGTTTTCCGCGGAGAAAAGAAGGAGAAACTCACCCCGGATATACTTGTGTTTCGTGGAAGTGTCGCCAGCCAGTCCTCAGAGAACATTCCGAAACACGAATTGTGTGGGCGCCGCCGTAGCTCTGTCTCCCAAGGGTTCCTGGATGGGACCTCAAGGCGAGGCGCTCCCTCCCCAGCTGATCGCCTGAGTTTTCAGTGGCGTGATTGTTCGAATTTTTACGTCCTCGTGTTGCCTGATCCGTGCTCGGCCACCACGACGCCCACCTCCCTCCCTCCCTCCTTCCATTTCGTCGAAATGGAAAGTACAAACAACGCTCGCGTTACTCGCCTACACGGTGAAACCTCTACTCTCTGTTTATACCGCCCTTTGAACTCCCACCGTCGCATCCATTCGACAACAGTGCTGGTGCGCGGTGACGTCAATGCTCCGTTCTCCGTCAACGGCGAAGGCGAGTGCGACATGGCCTGCTCTGGCAACTCCACTGAAACCTGCGGGGGGTACTACAGCATGGATGTCTATGCCCAAGATCCCGCGTACCTCGGGTGCTTCTCGGACCCCGCCGACGGCCGCATGTTCGTGTGGCAGAGTTCTTCCTCCGGTATGACCGCAGAGGTGAGCGGTTCGCCGGCAAAGGTCGTCGGGCTGCCTGTTTCTAGAATGCTCACTTGTCAACATGAGTATCCGGCATTCGTATAACTTGCTCCGTGATGTTGTTCTTGTTTTTGTTATTGTTGTTGTATCTTCCTCGATATCGATATCGTGTGGTGCACAGCAACGGTCAACCTTGTTCGCCGGATCGGGTTCCTAGGTCCTTATCAATACACCCAGCTCCTGCTCTCCTTTTCGATTTGGTCCTCGCTACTTGTCTCCCCCCTACCGTGACTATGAACCGTTGCTCGTGCGCGCACACACGTACATGACCCAACGACCAGGTCTGCGCCTCGCTCTGCACCGGCTCGGCCTACTACGGAACCCAGCATTCTCACGAGGTATGACTTCTTGATATACGTGTACGCCGTGCTTTTTGTGTCAGTTTTGTGATGTACGAGATGCGTGGTATTCGAAAGGCGTCGAGCGCCTTCGTGGGCTTTGGGTGACTACGAGTGTCAGCGTGAATTGGCCAGTGACCCAGTGTCGTAGAATCTTTTCTATCCTAAATGAATCTCAAATACCTCATAGGCGTGCGACTCATGATGGTCTATTGACTTCTGGATGTGGTCAAACCCATCGTACGTTGCCTCTCCAAGCCACCCAGGGCCCTAGCCGCCTGGGACCGACGCTGTTCAGTTGGTTTGCCGTTGTCGTCCCTCACGACACCGGCCATACGTATGCATGTGCAGCAGACGTGGAGGCGGCATACGTAGACTACAGTATGCGTGTCATGGTTTAACAACCATAATGATGACGAATCGTACGAACGAAGGACAACTACGATTTGCGACTTTATTTGATCGTCGCGTTCTCCAAAACCCGTTAGTATAATAGCGCCATGACCTGAGGTGTTCGTGTCACGCCTTTGGCCATTGATTTTGCCCTGACAACGGCCTGCTGAGCTCACAAAACTCACCTGGTCTCGTGAAACATCGTACATCATGCATGTTTTCTCCATCATGATGAGATCCGCCCCCTCCGCCTGTTCATGCCCCCTTGCATACTGATGATGCTGCTGCGTGGAACAGTGCTGGTGCGGCGACAACGGCGACTACGATGCCAACGGTTTTGGCGTCTGCGATATGCCCTGCTCAGGCTATTCCGGCGAGATGTGCGGTGGCTTCTTCACCATGTGGGTGTACCAAACCATATAAGGGGCCGTCCACGTCGTTGCGTCATCACGGTAAGCTGCCGCCACCACTTTTCCCTGGCCAACATTTCGTCGACATTGCCCTAGGGTAACGCCTGTGCCGTTGAATCTTTCCGGCCAGTCTGTCACTGTATCCCGAATAATCCGGCCATGATGAGCTGGTGAACATCCGGCACACAACTCGCGTGTTCGGCGCTAATGTAGTGGAAATGGCAGCGCTACTTCGGCGCGCTTCAAGAAAAAATGGTGTTGCGATTACCTCCGTATTCTCTCGCTTGTAACTTGCTGTCTTAACACGTTCACTGTTTCTTGTTGCCGCGTTGGACCATCTCTTGTTCAGCAGAAACGTCGCCGACCTGAGGGAATTACACTAAAGGTGATGTCCATATGAGCGAACCGATGGTCAGGCGTTTTCCTCGACGCACGTGACGAACCTCGGTCGGTGTAGGTCTACGTTCCTCTACATCAATAAGGGCTATGAGTACACCGCACCAACGGAAATAAAGGAACAGGTTTCCAAGACACGTCTGCAACGTACAGTAGATGGGACTTTCGTCTCGGAGGAACCAGGCATGGAGGCGGGAACGATTGCTGTGTACACGAACGAAACCGTTCCATGAATGTACGATGTTCGGATGCTTCTGCAACATTCGCGGGATAGGGATGAGAAGGAAGGGTAGGTTTTGAATGGAAAGTACATAGAAGTGGGAAGCAGCGTGTAAGAGGGAGATATACACACCCAAAGGTGGTCAAAACATGACCGACAACTGAGTGGACGTGCGTACGGCAGAATCAGGGGGCGAGAACGTGTAGAAAGACCAGAGACACGTACCACGATCGGTGAAGGTTAACGGGTTTGTTTCCGGTTCGCCGCTTACTTCATACCGGTCAGTTTGTCAACTAGCGCCACCAGCAGGGCTATCTCGCAAATTGTCTGTATCTTGTTCCGGTTTCCTGTCTAGAGTGTAGACACGGTGTACGTACGCATTTCGAGGTTGGACCTCCGCAGCTCCTAGTCGTCTGTACGGGTGTAGGTTCAAGTCAGAGATGTGGCAGCGTCGAGTTGATGGGCGGGTGGAAACTGGCCGCAGGAAGTTTCCAAGGGTATCCGAGCTGCTGCTACTTCCTCTACGGCCGGAGGTCCATGAGGTTAGGGTGTTATTGTTGAGTTTTTTGGGAAGCTGTCTATAGGGCATCACTTGTAGACTATATACTGCGAAAAACAAGTGTCATAAGCCCGCGCATTTTCAGTAGCTATTGCGGGTTGTCAACGATGGAGCGAGTCCTGGTGGGGCGTAAGTACGAGCTAAACCTGCCCTCCGCTAGCCTGAGACCACGCAAGTACTGCAAAAGAAATGGTATATGTTGTCTCAGATGTTGTTACGGGCGCACAGACCGTGGTACGTGAACTGTGATCACTTGTTCACGGTTATCCAAGTTCCCGGTTCCGAACGATAAGCAACTCTTTCTGTACGAGCTCTCGCGTAGAATGCACGCAGTGGTCCGGTGTTGCGTCTGACACCGCAGGACGTGTTGTACAGATGGCATGTCCTACAACGTTTCCTCTACCGAGGCCAGCGCTGGCCCAACCAAGGCTACAATGGTCATCCGCGCTTGGTGCAAGCCATCTGAGCTGTCGGTGGTTCTTGGGGCCCCCGACCTCGTCAGACAATCCTACCGGGCAGATACCCGGCTGCGCAATCCCATACGCAGCGTTTCGCGGATAGTCAACCTTTGTCTTCTGTTGTCATGACTCCAGTGCCGATTTCTGTGAACCACTGTCGTCGTTCGTGTTCCCTGTTGTTCTCGAGGCTGGTAAATGACGTTCTACCTGATTCGGTGGCCTCAACGCCTCCTTGACTGTCGGGGGGGTTCGAGGAGTTTCCAAACCAATTTTTCCTCTCGATATGTCTCCTCTTTGTAAAAATGTGGGATTGAAAGACCGTGACTACAGCATGTCCTCTAGACTTCTGTTTGCGGCGCTAGGTGCGTCAACGAGCGTCACACAGGTCGTTATTGCTTCACGGGTGGCCAGAGGCAGGATACAAAGCCAACCCTCAGAGTGCTCCGGGGCCTGATGGTCTTCGTTTTTCGTATCTCCAAGCTGGCGGAATGAGTGATTTTTTTACTGAACTTGGCGGACTTCAGCTTTAATTTTTTCTACTACGGAGACGAGCTTCCGGATTTCTTTTGGAACCTCCACACCAGTGCCAACCTTTCAGCGCTGGGAGAGAAAAAACGGCCGATTGCAGTTGGAGGGGTTTAGCGTCGCATCATCAGCGGCAGCTTCTGCCGCCAATACAAGGGAGGGATTGCCAACATCTTCGAAGCAGCAAACCAGTTCGGAGGTGGTGTTCCAGGAGGAGTTGAGATAGTGGCTTCCACAGCAGCCCTCAGCCACCGGCGAGGTAGCACCATTCTCTCCTTTGGTGGGAAAAATA